TTAATATAATTTTTTATAAAATTAAATATAAAAAAATTTTATCATTGAGTTTATATATAATTTTAATATATTATCCTCTACTTTTAAGATTTTTAAAATTTTGTCAATCAATTTATTGAAAAAATTTATCATTGTAATTTTATAATAAAAATTGTGTATTTTTAAAATGTTCTAACTTTTGCTCTAGTAAAGCAATTTTAATTTTATAATTTGCAAATGATAGAAAAATAATATGCTTTTAAAACTATATTGAAACATTTTTCATTTCATTTTATTAAGTTAACTAAAATTATAAATTAATAATTATTTTAATGATTAAGTTATAGTGAACTACTAAAACTTATATAATAATTTCAATTATAGCAAGATAGTTTAAAAGCATGTTATTTATACACTATTTGCATTTTACAGAATTAAATTTGTTCTATTTGAACAGGAATTAGAACATTTTAAAGATGTTATTTTATATGATTATAAATAATAGTTATCAATCTTGATATGTTAATTTAAGTATGTAATATATAAAATATATGTATATATAATGCATCGAAGTCTTATTTGAAAGTTATGTTTATTTAATTAACTATATATTATGCTCATTAATTGAATTAGTTTAAAATAAGTATACTAGTACTAACTAAGTGCTAATTAAATGTTTTTTTAATGAGTTCATTATAATGAAATTATTTGTATTTTAAAAATAAAATTGGCATTAATTATTTAACCTATAAATTTATATTCAAGTTTATTTCAATTATATTAAAAATGACTCATTATACAAAAAAAAAACATTTATTAAAAATTACTAAAGATTATAAATCTAAAAAAAAAACAATATTATAATATTTATATATTTATCAATTCTTTGAATTATGAAGAATTAAAAAAAGTTCAAAACTACATTAATTTATTGAACCCTTAAGTACAAAATATTAATCTTTATAAAATTTTTAATTTCTTGAACCAAGAAGAATTAATAAATCTATAAAACTACATTGATTTGATCAGCCCAGAATGACAAAGTACTGTTAAAAAAAAACTTAATGAATTAATTAATAAAATAAAAAGCTTATCAGATAATTAAATCTTAAGAATAGAACATTTAATTAATACAATGATATATTCTAAAAATAAAACAAAAGATGAAATATTATCACTATACTTACAAAATAAAGCAAATAAATTTGTAACTAGTGGTCTTTTTAAGCAATATTCATCTGCAAATACTTTCCAAAATAAAGTAAAAAAGTTAGAAACTGAAAATAAAAAATTAGTAAAATCTTTAGAAATGTCAAATCATAAGCTTAGATCATTCTGCATGAAGCTTGTACAAGCAGTAAAAACAAAAAAAAATTTTTATAATTTAATTTATTTTTCAAAGATCAAAAAAAATTACAAAAAATCAGTTTCAAAAAGCAGCAAAAAAATTAATAAAACAGAATAAATATGAATATACAGCTAAATTTGTTAATTTTACAACTAATATAAGCAACATTGAAACAATTTCATTTTCTGTAGTAGCCAAATGCACTAAAGTGATAGTGACTTTTTTTACTAGTAAGAAACTAAATCATTGGCTCTTAACAGAAACTCTTTTTTATTGAAATAAGAAAATTGTCAAAATATCACTTCAACAAAATTAGTCAGATAAACCAAATTCACTATCTTATTTATATGGTATAATGACTGATGAAAATACTAGGGGAAATAAAAAGATGTTTTTGGTTTGTTTTTTATATTAAAATAAATATAAAAATCACCAATTATTACTCTTACCAAAATGATTGATATAAATAAATGCAATAAATATATTATAGCAAAATTAGTAAAAGAAGTATATGAAGAAATAATTTAGATCCAAAACAATATGAATATTGGCTTACTGATAACATGACCTACATGTTAGGAAATAAATCAGGTACCATTGTGAAATTTAATTTGCAAACTAATACTTCTTCATTTAGAGTTTTATGTAGTTTACATGCACTACAGATAGCTTTAATTACTTTTAAAAATGCCACATTCAGAAAGTTAAACACTGTGTCAGAATTATCTTTACAAAAACATCTTTATAATCTTCTTCAGCTTATCTATTATCTACATGATAAATATGATAAAAGTAATAAAAAATGTTTATTAAATATAAAATTAAATACAATGCAAAAATTATATTGGATACTTTTAAAATATACCTTACCAAAATATAAAAAACCTATCTTAAAAGGGTATGATAACTTAGTAAAGTGGATAAGTTATCAATCCTCTAAGTAGTAGATAGGAAGTTCAAAACCCACTGATGGCAAAAATTTGGAAAACCACCTATGTATATTGGTACTATAGGCATCTGTGCAATGTTGAAGTTATACAGATAAATGCAAACTGGCATCGAGCAGTGCAAACTCAAGATAAGTTCTTGTGTCTGGTATTATGACAACAGCAATCTGTCAATTAGTTGGGATCAGTACCTGTAACATAGTCGCACCAGATAACTGGCAAGTCATGAAGCATCTGTGCAATGTTGAAGTTACACAGAGAAATGCAAACCAGCATTAGACAGTGCAAACCCAAGATAAGTTCTTATAATCATATAAATCTGTGAACTAGGAAAACTGGAGCCTACTTAGAAAAACCCAAGTAGAGAGATAGCACAGATCTTCAACAGTACTACTATAAAGGCTAGACCTAGGAAACAGATACCAATATGAAAGAAATCAGGCAGGCAAGAACCTCGAGTAAGAGATACTACCAACTAAACTGTTAGAAGTCTCAAATCAGAGAAAAAGAACCTTGAAGAGCAGATCCTGAGGTACCAGGAACAGGTTATAGTCCTATCAGGCTATCTGGATTGGAAGTCTAAGGTTGGAAACAGGAGTATACTAAAGTACTAGAGATATGCTGTAAAGTCAGTACTGGTGTCTAAGTGAACTTTGCAAGGGCGAGCCCTGTTAACAAGATACTAAATATTGGTAGTTAGTTAGCAGAAGGGCCTCCTAAAGCCCTACAAGTCAGGTGATGTACTCTAAAATATATAACAGCTTAATGAATATACAGACAGAGAGGTCATAATTAGGTTAGACGGCACTTAGATGTACAGGAACTTGTGCACTATTTGTCAGTATAAGTATAAGGATTAGAGTGTTTAAATAAATAATCTTTTAGTAGATTGCAGATATGGCAGCTAGTGTAGAACCTGCTATGCAGATGGACTACTTAAATTAAACAACCAAAAGTTGTACATATGGCTAGTTGTATACTCACTTTGTACAAGTTATATAGTTATAATTAAAATATAATAAAGGCAATAGCTATTGATAACTATGACCTTAGCAAAAGCAAAAAAAAATAAAAATAAAAAATCTATCTTGAGTTAATAATAATATCAATTAGTAACAGTGAATCAATATCTTAAAAATTTCAATGTGTATTGCTTCTTTGGAACTTGGTTTGCTAAACAGCTTGACCAATTTAAAAATATGTCTGAGGGATATATTAAGTAATGAAAAGTTTTTGTTGAATGAATAAACAATACAAAACTTAATCTTCAAATAAAATATATAGTATAATTTTAAAATTTTTTTTACTTAAAGTTTTTTGAATTTCTAACCAGGTTTAATACTGTACTTCAAATATTAGAAAATAATTTATTCAAATGTCTTCTTCTGAATACTGTATGCATGAACTTCCTGATCAAGTTTTATTGTAGCTTGGAAAATTACAAAATGCAATTTCTAACCTATATATTATTTTTGAAAAAGAACTTGTTAAAGCCCAATCAAAATTATGTAATCATAAATTTGCTATTTTAATTCAAGACATAAAACTTGGATTAGAAAAGCTTAAAGAATTTTTAAAATAGATGTGTTATTGAACTCACTTACCCTTAACAATATGTTTGTTAGATGGAAATAATGGATCTGATTTTGCATAAAGTATTTGTTATGTTTTCTTAGACTGGCTATTAAATGTTAAACCAACTGAAAAAAAATTTATATATACTGATCTGTTAAAAAAAGCTAAGTTAGAAAGAAATATTTTGTTATTTGGTTTATTTAATATACTAAATGTTTCTAATTTTTTAGATCAATTTCTTAGTTTCTTAATATCTCATTTGCATGAGCTCTTTAAATTTCCTCTTCTATATAATTTTATAAAATATAGAGTTTGGTCAATTATAGTTCATCAGCAGCAATTAGAAGAAATGTTTAATAAATATGATATCAAAACTTATCTAAATATGACTAACAAGATGCAAGAAGCAAGACTTCTACTCTCAAGTCCAAGTAAACCAGAAGTAGATTTTGATTATAAAGATTTAAAGACAATTTAAAAAAAGCAGCAGACTGATATAACTAAAAATACTCAAAAAAAGCAGCTGCTCAAGCTATTTTAAAAGGTTTATTAAAAAAAAAAAAAATTAAAAATTTATTTTTTATGAAAAATAAAATTATTAAATAAATGCATTCAAAAAATAATTTTTTTTATATCCAATAATGTATCTGAATATGCTTTGATTTTTTAGTAAAAAATCCTAATAACCAGATCTGATTACACATGTTGCACTATAATAGTTGATCATTTAGTATTTAACACCCTATTATAACATTAACTTCTTGGCAGAAAGATGGTTAAAGCTGTGATTTTGACATTTTAATTAATTTAATTAAAATTAAAGTTTGGATTAGAGTTGGTTTGGTGCTGATATAAAAAGTAAAATATAAGTAAAATTAATTACTGACATTTTAAATAGTAGTTTTGACTGTTGTTTTTTATATTTTGTATTTTTTTTATTTTTTGACTGATTCATGTAAACAAAATTTTGCAACTTTAGTTAGTTGATTTACACTAAAATATCATATGAGTACATGACTTTTTTTTTTGAGTTTCAGGCAAATTTTTTTTTTTTAAATATTAAGATAAATACTTGCAATTCAGGATTTTATTGATAGTATATTTGGCTAATAGTTGCATTACAACTACAGAGAACAATCATGAAAAGAGTGTACAACTAGCTACTTATACAATTTTAGTTATTGTCTAATTTAAGTAGTTCATCTGAAGGTTCTACACTAGCTGCTATACCTGAAACCTACTTGTAGATTCCCTATTTAACTACTATAGTTTCTGTATCCATCTACCTACTTCTGTCTATTAACAATCCTGGTTGATGCTAATAAAAATATGCCATGGTTACTAAGTTTTTAAAACAGTTTTTTGAAATCTTTGATCTTGTACTAAATCTTTTAGAGTCTTTTGTATCTCATTCTTACAACTAATCTAGTATTGTTATAGTTAAGACCAACACTGACAGTTAGGATATATTATTAAACTGCTATGTCTTTGTAGAGTTTATTCTAACCTCAATACTGACTTTACAATATATCTCTAATACTTTGGTATTCAATTTAAGTTTTACTAAGCTGCCATTTCAGATAGCTCAAAAAGGTAGATCAAAACTATATCTTTGGTTTATATATTTGTCAATATGTATTCTTTTTCTCCAAAATCTAGAAATTCCAGTAACTTGGTTGGTTTATCTGGTTCCTTCTCAAAGACTGACATATTTGTCTAGTTTTACAAGTTCTAGCTCTATTTTATAGATCTAGTTTTTATATAATACTATTGAAAGTTTGGGTTATTTTTTTATTCAGATCTTTTAAGTAGACTTTTATTTTTCTATCTGATTTCTGTGATTTATATGGTCTAAAGACTTATCTTGAGTTCATATTATCTGGTACTAGTTTGTATTCCTTTGTACAATGTTGTATAAGTGCCTAAACTTTCTAGTCATACTAGTATAAAACAAATTACAAATATCTAATCTTAACCAATCATGAAAGACAATTAACTGTAATACAAAAAGAATTGCAAATTTTTGTTATCACTAGAATTTGAACTCTAGACCTGCCGCTTGAAGGTTAACAACTTATTTATTTTACTAGATTACTACATCCTATTAGAAACAATTACTTTTTTATTTTTTTTTTTATAATGTTAAAGTTTCTGCCTTTGGGAATTAATATTTTTATTCAAGTATTTGAACATGAATGCCTTTATATATAGAAGTTACAACTAGCTACATGTGCACTTTTGGTGCCTAATTTAAGTAGTCTATCTATATATTACTATACAGGTTCTATACTTGGTGTCATACCTGCAAGCCAATTACAAGTCTTGCTTATTTAAACTCTCTGCATATGTAATCTGATTTGTGATTACAAAGACATCATTTGGGTTATACTTATTTAAAGTATCTGATGCTTTCAAGACCTTTAGAATTAGTTTATTCTTGACAGAAAACTTACTAAAACCTTCTGTGTCTTACATACAGCTAATCTAGTTTTATGCAATATGCTATAGTTACCTAACACTTGCAGTTACAGAGGTTATCTGTTTAACCACTATGTTATACTATTTCTACTCTTGTAAAGTTCACTAGAACCCCAGTACCTATTATCATGACATCTTCTCTATCATTCTTTACTAACCACTACTCAGAACTGACAAAACTTTCCTGACTTTCAATTCAGATAGCCCAGTATAATATACTTATATATCTTTTTTTTTCAGTAATTTCAGCAGTTTGGTTGGTCATATGCTTCTTTATACATCTTAATATTCAGTTTATCTACCTATTCCTTTGAAGATATTTTATAAACTTTTATTAGTCTGATCATATAGTTGAAAGTTCATACTACTTCTTTACTTGAAAATTTCAAAGTGGGCTTTCAACTCTTCAGTTTCTTAGTTTATTGCATCTGGTAGTCTTATCATAGATTTGCACTAAAGTCTTATATAATACTGGTTATTAATATTCCTCTAAGTATATGTAATGTTATACTTGACATAAATGCTCTGAGCTCTTATTCGAAATGGTATGACTTAAGGTTACAAATACATAAATCCAACTGATTGTCAAGAGACAGTTTGCTATAATACAGATTAATTTCCAAATTTTATCATAAGTAGGATTTGAACCTTAGACCTGTTACTTGAAGAATGACAACCCAACCACTATATTAGGATTGCTATTCTTATATTAGAAACAATTATTATAATAAAAATACAGTCTAACCTCTCTATAGTCACACTTTTGGGATACAGAAATTGGTAATTATAGAGATGTGACAATTATAAAGATACCTCTATATAGTCACAACATTATTAAAAAAAATAATTAGTAATTATATAGAGAATTTATAAATAATTTTTTTTAAAAAAAATTTTTTTCAATTAATCGATAATAGTGCTCTATATAAAAGTTAAAAGTTTATTAAGTAAATCAATCTTTTTATATTAAGTAAAGTTATTCAGAAGAATAATTTACATATACTATAAAATTTTCATATTTTTTAAAAAATATTTTACTAATTAACTTTTACAATTTACATTTCTATAAAAAAATTTAATTTTTTTGTATAAACATAAATTGTAAAAGTTAATTAGTAAAATATTTTTTAAAAAACATAAAAATTTTATACTAAATGTAAATTGTTCTTCTGAACAACTTTACTTAATATAAAAAGATTAATTTATTTAATAAAATTTTGACTTTTATATAGAGTAACTATTATCAATCAATTAAAAAAAATTTAAAAAAATTTTTTTTTTTTTGGTATTAAGGTTACTTCTTTAGTCTTTTGACTTTTATTAATCACTTATTGGTATTGTGGTTCAATGAATCACTACAGAAGAGAGTACAATTGGCTATATATGTAAATTTTCTATATTACCTATTTAAGGAGTCTGCCTGAAGGTTCTTCATCAATTGCTATATCTAACATCTCTGTTTGGGTGTTCTATTTTAAACTTTCTTAATTTGTAACTTGTGTTAACTCACTGAGTCATACTCAGATGCCTAGATCATCATCTCAACCTTAGGACTAATTTATCCTTAAGGTAAACCCCTCAGAGCCTTCTGTACCTATTTTTACAGCTGATTTAGGTATCGCTATGGCAGAACTAACACTTGTGATCAGAGCTAATTATTAAACTGCTATGTTCTTGTAAAGTTTACTTAGACTCTAGCATCTACTTTATAGCATAACTCTGGTACTTTAGTATACCTCTGCCTTTTTATCTGCCTTTTTACTAAACTTCCAATTCAGATAGCCTGTGTAGAACTACAATCAGTCTATTAATATATTGGGTTGGCCTGATATTCTTTTTCTTCAGTTCATTCAACAGTCTGATTGGTGGTATCTCTGAGACTCCCAACCCAGAGGTTTTTGCCTATTTTGCTACTATGACTGAATACTATAACCTTGGTATTCATTTCTCTAAGCTAGCCTTTACAGTAGAACCATCAAAGATTCAGCTATCTCTCTACTCAGATCTTTCTAAATGAACTTCTTGTTATCTAATTTTAATTAATTTATATGGCCACAAGGACTTATCTAATGTTTGCACTGCCTAATTTGTCAGTTTGCATTTCTTTGTGTAATGCCATACTTACACAGATGTCTCATAACCTGCCAGTCATGCTAGTGCAACCATCATTACAGATATCCTAACCTAATCATTAATAACAGTTGCCATAATATGAATATTATATAGGTAATTATCCAAATTTTTGCTGTCGATGAGATTTGAACACCCAACCTACTACTTGAAGTGTTAACAATCTAACCACTTTACTAGGTTGCCACATCTCTAATATTTTGTGTAATAGTAATTTTTTATAATTTTAATGCTTATTAAAAAATGAAATAATTATATTTTTAGCTGCATTATTTAGTTTATATTTTGTAATTAAAACTATTAAATCAGCATAAGCTTTATTAGAAAATTTATCATGTTTCTGATTAATTTCTTTTTTCTTTTCTGAAGAGCTTTAAATATTATTAATATAAATAGAAT